GACAAGATCCGTATGATTGAGCTTCACTTGGAAGAAATGGATGCGCCAATCAGTTTGATCGAGCAGGCCAACAAAACCTCCCAGACCAACGCCTCGTAAGCGCTGCCTGTATATAGACGCTTTATTCTATACACGTTAAGTACTAATTATAGGCCAGAGATGAGTCATACCCTCTTGGTGTATACGCATAAATGAGGCTGCGAGAAGTCGGTCTCCCCCTGTATGCTATGATGAAAGCTTGTAGTCTCATTATGTACACACTCCCCAACACGGGCAATCAACTAAGTAAAATCATATTCATAACCATGAGGCGGGATCCGCACTCTATATACATGAGGCCGTAAAAGCTACAGCTGGGACGGAACCTACCAGTGGTCTGGCAATAACACTTGAGACAACCCCTTTCAAAGAAATCCCCTTATTTGAGAATCCTGTTGACGATCTTGTTAAACAAGTCTGGATTGTCCATGTGCAAGTTGTGTCCAGCCAGGTCCACCGTGTACACCTCACTGTTTTTGCCAATCTTCGACGATAATGAGGCCCCAGCTTCTCTGTTCATCCAGTCGTCCGTCCCATAGAACCAGTAGATCGGCTTCTTAATGGCCCGGTACTGCTCCACTCGATCCATCAACGGCCACTTAGCCATTATGCTCCCACTCAAGATCTTGGTGATGGCGGTCTCGGACGTACTGCGGCTCTTGTACAAATTATAACAGTACTGGGTCAAATATCCCAACAGGCGGTTGTAGGCGTCGGAATCAGTGACACTGTCCGGCTGGCGGAATCGGTTCAAAGTGTACAACGACAAGACCTTTGGAGCCGCCACCGAGAGAGATCGGATCACTCCGAGGAGGGCAAAATTGCAGTTCCAAGCAGACACAAACCAGGAGGGGAGCCCGTTGCCGAATCTGCCAATGTAGTCGTACGAGGTTGGATCGGCCAGCGGCACTCTTGCCTCGGAAAACAAGTTTGGGTTGTGGATAGAGAGTGCGTTGCGCTCAACCCCGACCGGCGAAAGAAGCACTAACTTCTCAATCCGGTTTGGGTACTTGTGGGCGTAACAAGAGGCCATGTAGCCACCGTACGAGTGGCCAAAGAGCACGAACGACTCCAACTTTTGCTGCTTTCTCCACAGTTCAAGCGATTCGACGTAGTAGTTTTCAATGTCCGAAACTACCGCCTTGGTGCCTTCAGCATATCTCTGTGCCTTTTCGGGTGTCTCAAACCCAAGTCTAAAGGTTGCCTGGTCGAGAACCGACTCCAGCTTTGGGATCGTGACCTCCACCGATGGCGGATAAACGTACTTGGTGGAAAGCTGGATAGCAGGGCTGGATGATCCACCGCAGCCGAGCAAATCTAAGGCGTGAACCTTGATGTTTCCGTTGTTTTCCACAAGGTTCTTGAAGTTGCGGTGGTAGTGACCCAACCCAGCACCGTAACCGTGGAGCATGACCACGTTGGTAGCAGCGTTCAGATCGGTTTGGTTTTCAAGGTAGACCTCGTTGATGTAGCCCGGTTTGTTATAGAGCGTGATCGGAACCGTCTGGGACTGCACCGTGATGCCTGGCCTTGAGATGTTTTGCAACTGGAAGTTAACGGTGGCGGTGGGGTTTGGAGAGGCGTCCACCGTGGCGTATTCGCCCCTGCCTAGCGTTTCGTGGAGAAGTTCGTTTTGCGAAGCAAGCAACGAGTCCTTCTTCCAGGAATTAACCCAGATCTTCTGGGAATCCCAGAAGGTGATGCTCCTGCGCTCAGGCTTGGTCGCTTCGAGTGCGGCCTTCTCGCTGAGCTGGGTGCCGACGGTTGCAGTGGTGGAAGTGTCTACAGACATGTTGTGAGATCTGATTGTGCGATGATACGGTAACCTTGGATATTGGCGGCCGATATACCTTGGCAACATCACACAACTCTGGGGGGAATAGAAGAGATGGCTGTTTAAATAGCCAGCGGCAAACTCTGTTTATCAGGTCTGCGCCTCGTGTGTGATTTCTTTTTCATGCAGAGAAGCTGGCGCTGCGGTTCGCTGCTTATAAATGTGCCCGGCATCGGAAGCGGACGGACATCCGGTTAATTAATGAGTCTGTCGGTCCGTGTGACATGCCCGCAGAGGGATCTGGGAGTGTGCAATACACCAGGGGTTGCATACTGACTACCCCGAGTTATTGGATCCTCTAATCACACTTGATCCAAATCGAGTAATAGTGATGTTGGTTCTTCGGTACCATAGAAGTGGTTACATTCTTTATGTTGAAGTATGGGCCTGAGAAAAATTACTTTTTATGATTTAACTTTAATTACAAGTTTTAAGCTACCAGTGTTGACGTTACAAATTTCCTCAATATCAAGCCCTATTTCCACGCATGCAGTTATCACTAGGCCTAAAACTGAAAAATATTGCCCTCGAAGTTATGCTACCTCTGTTATATCCCAGAGGAGAACTACATACCTCTCTAGGTTTAATTTGCAATTCATGCTACCTCTGTCGAAAGTCACGTAGGTTGTATATCCTCGTATGTTGTTGGTACGTATCGCTTTGTGCCTCGCTTTTCCCCCATAGTCTTTATTTATATTTTAGGGTGGCAAATGGTTGGTTAGAATAACACCTCCGACGGGTGCGTCTTCTGTCATGCCGCACCCAGGTTAAGTCCGCACTCTAGCGCCAGCCCATGGCGAGGAAAAAAAGCCTTTAATGCATATTTAGCGATTCACTCGCATGCAGGCATACACTCGGCTGAGCCCCGTGGATAGAAGCCGTACTTCGCACAAAAGCTACTTTGGAATTTGTCATTTGCTGAGGCGGGTAACGAGCTATATTTATCTCATACCAGGGTTTATTTTATCACGACATATGATTTATGATATGTGGCGCTCGATATGGCGTACGGCATTCCCCGATTAGGAAGGCATTCTATGTAGTGTTGCATGTAAGCCTCCGAAACTATGCTAAGCCCCAGCCGCGTGAGTGTGTTCAGTCATATATTGCATCGGACTAAATAAGATGTAAGTGTATCCAAATAGCGACTAGCTAGAAATGCAAGCTTTTGTTAGGGAGCTCCATAACAGCACCGGGTGGCAAATTTTGCAAAAATATATATATATATATATATATTGGATTATGCCATATTGCTAAGTTACTTGAACCATTTGTTTATTTCTACAGACGCTTTCTTTATATTATATTTTACCATTTTTTCCCCTTTTTACACTTAAGATAAAGTCTTAGATACTCCACACTAATGTCGAATTCAATTCCTGAGACGATTGCCTCCAGTGTTGAGCGTAATCCCATCTTCCCTACCGTAGGAGACTCGTCTGACTCCACCAGCTTGCCTGATGCTCTTATTCGCAAGTACTACGAAGCTGATGCCGGCGACGGAACAACGGCCCAAGACCAGTACCTCACTGGCGTTCCACTCTACCTCTCTGTACTTGCATCTGTCCTCTGTCTTTTCCTCACGGCTCTCGACTCCACCATCATTACCACCATCGTCACCGTTGTGGGGAACGAGTTCCATTCGTTCGACCAGATCGGCTGGCTTGCTGCCGGTTTCCTTCTCCCAATGGCCGTGTTAGCAGCCACCTGGGGTAAACTTTCCATCGTTTTTGGCCGTAAATGG